ACCTGCAGCAGCTCGCAATGCACGATCGACAGCCCGCTATCTGTGACCAATCGAGGCTCTCTCACCGGAAGCCGTTCTGCCTGGCGCGCACGCCCGACGTGAGACATTGGGCGGTGGGCGGTGGGCACCACATACGGCCCGAATGTGTCAAAGCCAAGCAAGGTATGCCGGCGGGTGAGCGGTTCCGCCTGCAAGGTTGCTGGCTGCGCCTTATTGACAACGCCGCCAGAATCACAAGCTCTCGGTCGCTATCGCCATCCGCGTCGCAACACGTCGGCTCGCCGGCTGATGCTCAGACATGCTTTGACTTGTCACATAACCTCGTATTGCGCACTGCACCAGTCCGCGACGCGGCAGGGACAACCCCGGCCCTTGATTGTCACCCGAGAGTTGGCCGGCCTCAGGTAGCGCTGCGCACCGGCGCCGGCCGTTGTTGGCGTACGCTGCCGAGCTGATCGTCAGGGCCGAGTAAAAACAGAAGACGCTTTGGGAAAGGAAGAAAGGGGGCTTTGATGCCTTATCCAACTGCTCGAGCGGGGAGTGATGTACCAAGCACAGCAAAGAAAGGCGAGGGCTGCCAAGAGAGGGCGTACTTGGCAGCTGAGGGCGTGATGCTTCCTGGCTCAAGCCTGGTTCCACTCGACACGTGATGCAGACTCGGAACTGAGAAGAATGAAGAAACACCGCGCGCCTTTGTTTTCTGTGTACTTGAGCCCAGCGCATCAAATCAACGGAACGCAATGGCTCGCTGTCGATTCCGTGGAAGCGTTGTCTTCGTGTCCAGCTGCTCCACAGGGCGTGTTCCGTTGGGCCTGCGCATTCACCCTCGTGTTACGAGGGGTCCGCAGTAGGATGAGGTGATTTGTCGCGTGTGTAGACCACGCAGACTGCATTTTGACAGCAGTTTTCGTATCATGCATGGCAATGTGTGTCCTTTGCTTCCTCTGGTTGGCACATTCAGGTTCTGCGTTCTGTGATGATTTTGTGGGACAGTGAACCACGACTACATGAGACTTTGTCAAGGATTGTCGTTCATGGAACCAGTGAGTAAAGTTCCTTCCAGCCCGAAACAGCGGCTGGGTAAGCTCGTTACCATCTCTACACCTCACGCGAAAGCAAGCAACGGACATGGGCGTTCATGCCTTCTATGGGTTTTCGAATGTCGGACAAGACACACAGGAGCCGTTCTCCCCCTCACTGCGTGGCCTAGGATTTTGAACATGTCTGGTGACCTTCGTATCCCTCTCACAGGTGGCTGGTGTAATTCTGCAGTAGTGTGGACATGGTACTGCTGGTGCCACTTCTTTGGTCCCCGCTCCCATCACCGTATTTCGTTACTGTCGTGTCGATCATCCATGGATGATCTGCCTGGCCATTGCCGTTTGGCCGGTAATGGGTGATAATTGCGCAAGGTGTAGGGACACGAGGTAATGGTCGCATTGGTGTTGCCTTTGGATGATACAGGTTCATCTCATCTTGAGGCAAATCTGAAGGTTGTACTGGCTTACCTTGTGAATAGCCTCAGTTTTGCCTCGCTCTGGACATCATGTTTGCGTCGACCCTTCATGGCAGCCTCATTGCCCTCGTAGCATGTCTCGCCCTGTCGTCGACGCACATTGCCGCTGCGCATACCGAGGATGAGGATCTCGGGACCGTCTTGTCATCGCAGAAGAATTTGTCGACATTTTATGGCCTGATCAAGGTATGCGGCAGAAATCGCAATTTTCGATACGTTCATATGCCTCACTCACATCTTTGACACTAACATGACCTTCAGGAATATCCTGATATCCTCCTCAAACTGCCCAGCCAGGATGGCGTGACGGTATGTTATCAAGCGTGTTGAGCCCCTGCTCTCGGTCTCCCGCTGACATGAAAAGATTATCGCCCCCTCCAATGCCGCATTCGAGAACATCCCGGGCACATCTCTCAACGGCATCTGGGATCCAAAGAACGCCTCGATAGCAGTGCCAATCCTCGAGTACCATCTCCTCAAGGGCATCGTCAACACCGAGGACCTCGCGCCGGGGCCTTCCATCTTTGCGGCCACGCTCCTTACTTCGCCGGCCTGGACCAACGTCTCGGCCGGCCAGAACGTCGTCCTCGCTCGGCAGCCCGGCGATGTCGTAGTCTTCACATCGGCCCAGGGCTCCCGCACAACACGCACGCGCGGCGACATTGCCTTTGCCGGCGGCCTCATCCAGGTGATCGACAACCTCCTCATCCCGCCGACGCCGCTCAGCGAGACGCTGCAGGCCTTTGGCCTCAACGCCTTCCTCGGCGCACTCCATGCCAGTGACCTGCTCAGCGCCCTGCAGGGCGACGAAGATCTGACCATCTTCGCGCCGCGGGACGAGGCGTTCCGCCGCGTCGGCGCCAGCCTCGACGCCCTCGGCGCCGACGAGCTGCGCGACCTGGTGCGTTATCACGTCGTCCGCGGCCGGGTCGCCGCCTCGGCGACGCTGACGAATGGGACACGCCTCGCTGCTGCCGGGGGCGGCGACGTCAGCGTGCGCAGGGCCGGGAACAACCTGTTCGTCAACTCGGCGCAGGTCGTGCAGCCGGACATCCTCATCGCGAACGGCGTGGTCCACGTCCTCGACAACGTGCTCAGCCCACGGGCGGCGGCGGCGGTGCCGGACCCAGACTCGGTGAGCCAGGCGCCGGTGTGGTCGGCGGGCGGAGACGGTCAGGGGACGCCGTTCACGAGCGCGATTCCCTGCAGCGAGGACTGTCCGGCGACGACGACCGCGGCGGGCTCCGACGGTACTGAGCGGAGCACGGCGAGGCTCACGACTACGGACGGGGTGAGCGGGCCGACGGCAAGTCCGGATGCTGCGGGCAGGGAGTTTGAGGCCGGCACGGGGTTGTGGGCTGCAGCTGGGTTTGCCGTTGTTGCGATGTTGGGATTGTAGACGGACGGAACCGTGAAAGAACCATGGAACGGATACACGCTGCGTGTGCCATTGATCTGGGTATGAGGTAAGATTGGCGGGTCGGAAGATAAGTTTTCAAGACATCACACTAGATATAGCCCAGGAGAAGATGCAGGGTTTGCTTATGAATTCAAGTTGTGCACATCCGCGCTCGAGTCCAGATGTGATACGTTCCTCCATCAAGGTGTAGCTTTCACCAATGCTATCACTTTGTTATGAACCTCGCGCAAGACCTGGCTCTTGTTTTGGCTAAGCTTCCTAAACGATCATTCGATTCAGGACCGCTCCGACGAGGTCGTCGCCTATTTCTAGTGGGCATGAATGACTGACCAGGCCCCCCCTTTTTTTCATCTTGAAGCTGGATCGTGTAAGCGCTCAGACCGGTCAATTGACAGCGATACCTCCAAGGATATATACCAAAACTTTTGACGGAACATTTCGATGCAGAAAATTTGGATGTAGGGCTGTCCGTCATTGCAGGCAGTATTTGCCAAGCGCTTCCAGAGCTGTGACTCTCAGGGAGTTGGGGGCGGGTTTGGTGGCGGCTCGGGCCTTGGTGGTGGACGAGGATGAGGTGGTGGAGTCGGAGGCCGCGGCGGGACTGGAAGTTCCATGTTTGAATAGATACAGGACTTCTGTGTGTTGTTGGGTGAGTGTTTAATCGTGCTCATGTGCGCTGTTCGTGCGATTCTTGGACGACCTTCTTGAGGCACATGGTCATCTGGTGTGGGAGTCCCAACGAGTTTCTTGCGTCCATTTTGTCTTTCTTTCCAAGACTGAAATGGCCTTGTCAAGGGTACGGACAGGATGTTGTTGGATTGACAGGTGCTTCGTGTGACGTCGTA